AGATTGTCTATTCCCATTTATTCCAAAAACAGAAAAAAGAAAATCAAAAAAGACAAAGACACGAGCCCTTCCTGCAAAGAAGCAAACTCAACAAACCCTGAACCCTAAACCCTAAACCCTTGGCCGTGCAGCAGGCGAGGCCGCGGTGTATGTACACCTGGGGCTGCGAGCCTTCTTAGCTAGCCAGGCCAAACCCATAGCTAGCTGCAGCTAGCTGTGGCTGCAGCTAGCTGTAGCTAGCTGCCGCTAGCTGCTGCACTTGCTGCAACTTGCTGCTGCTAACTGCCTAGCTAGCTAGTCAGCTACCCATGTGGCTAGCTAGCTAGCTATGTGGCTAGCTAGCTAGCTGTGTGGCTATCTAGAAGCGCAGCTAGCTAGAAGGCCAGCCCAGCGGCCAGCCAGCTAGCTAAGCTAGCTAGCTGGCTGGCCGTGCTAGCTAGCCGTGTGGCTAGCTGGGGGCGCAGCTAGCTAGCGAGCGCATGCAGCAATTTATTTGTCTTTTTTGGGGCTTTAAATTACAAAAAAGCATCTTTTATTATTCGAAATATACTTCACAATATTTGCCTTTATGTCTGAAATATTAATTTCTAATTTACCATTCAAAATAATATTCTCTAATTATTCATTCAAGTTCAAAACTCTATTTAGCTGCTTCTCTCCAATTCCACGAAACAGCCAAACCCACTTTAAGGCCCGCTGGGGGGCCCCCAGGGGGCCCCCCTGGGGCCTCTTGCTTGGCTTTCTGTGGGGTCCTTCACCAGAAGTGTCTGTGGGCCCCTATGGGGGCCCCCTGGGGGCCCCTGTGGGGGCCTCTATGGAATCCCATATGGGGGCCTTTGTGGGATACCCTGTGCGGTCCCCTGTGGGGGCCCCTGTGGGGAAATTAGTGGGGCACCTGTGGGGCCCCTGTGGGGCACCTGTGGGGCCCCTGTGGGGCCCCTGTGGGGCCCCTATGGGGCTTCGATGGGGACCCCTGTAGGGGCCCCTGTGGGGCCCCCGTGGGGGCCCCTATGGGTTCACCTGAGCCTGCGAGTGGGGGTCCTTGACCTCAAGGGTTCTGTGTGGGGAAGGGCCTCGGGGCCCCTTAGGGGGCCCCTTTCTCGGGGGGAGGGGCCCCCCGAGTCCAGGTCTTGTCTGTGGGGCCCTGGGGGTGTTGTTGAGCCAAACCCCAGTACGCCTAAGACCTGCAAGCAGCAGCAGCAGCAGCAGCAGCAGCAGCTGAAGAAGCAGCAGCGGACGTGGGGAGGCACTGACGCTGAAGCACAGCCAGCAGCAGCAGCAGCAAAGCGCCCAAGCGTCACAAGAGGGAGACGCCCGCAGCAGCAGCAACAGCAGCAGCAAACACAAAACCGCAACAGCAGCAGCAGCAGCAGCAGCAACACTTGGAACTCTGCACAACTTCCCGTCCCCTATCCCTTTCGCTCTAAAGAGAGCCAACGGCCCCAACGCCTCCACAACTTTTGCTTCCCTACGCATGCACACATGCATGCATGCACACATGCATGCATGCACACGCGCATGCATGCATGCATGCATGCACACGCACATGCATGCATGCGTGCATGCACACACACACACACGCATACATACATGTACACACGCATATATGCAAGCGTGCATGCATGCA